CCCCCCCCCCCCCCCTTCTCAGAGACAAAGTCTCCCACTGACCTTAACTCTTAACTCCTGATCCTCCATCTCCCAAGTGCTGGAATTACAGGTGTGTACCATCATGCTTGGTTTTAATTGTTTGTGTGTAGTATGTATGTATATATGTCTTTGCATGTGTACACATGCATGTGAAGGCCAGAGGTCAATGTCAAGTGTCTTTCCTTTTTTCAATTTTTAAAATTTATTTATATATTTATTTTATTTTAGGTCTTTTTGAGCCAGGGTCTCTGTGTAGCCCCAGCTGACCTGGAACTCACATGTAGACCAGGCTGACTTTCATCTCACAGAGATCTGGCTGCCTCTGCCCCGAGTGCTGGAGTTGAAGGCATGCGCCATCAGGCTGGCTTTATTTATTTATTCACCTAGGCTAAGCTACCCTCAAAAATTGAGAGACCTGCCTGCCTCTCAAGGGCTGGGATTAAAGGTATGGGCCATCATACCCAGCTGGCCAGCTTATTTGAGACAGAATTTTCCACTGAATCTGGAGCTCGCCGATTTGGCTAGAAGTCCCATGGCTCCTATATCCACCACCCCAGCACTAGGATTACAGGCATTTACCACATGGATGCTGGGGAAGGGAACTCAGGTTCTCATGCCTATATCATAAGCACTGTTCTGATATTTTTAAGATCCCAAACTCTTGGGGTTCAAGTGATCCTCCTGCCTCAGAGCACCCCCTCCACCAAGATGCCAGTACTATAAGTAAATGTCAGTGATAGTGGCTCACAATTTTTCCTGTCATCCTACGATGCTGCCACAGATGTTCCTCGTGACTTCACTTAACATGATGAATCAGCTCCTCTACTAATACAATGGCCAAGTATACAATTCTAAATGGTTTTCAAATGCTATTAGTGACATTAATTAAGGTGAGGATGGTCTTCAGGATACAGATGTGGGGCTCCCCTGGTGTCATCTCTAGGAGCAGGATCAAGTGGCTACCATTCATTTAGGAGATGTAGAGGGAACAGGACCAGCTCCCTCACATAGTAGCATGTCCTGCCAACTCCTGGGGGCACTGGCAACATTTTCTTCAAAAGGAGAGAAAGTGGGGACAGCAACATGGCTCAGTAGGTAAAGGTGCTTACTGCCAAGCCTGATGACCTAAGTTTGATCCCTGGAAGCCCACATGGTAGAAGGAGAGAACTGACTCCCAAAAGCTGTCCTCTGACCTCAACATGTAGGCACACGCATAAGCATTGCATGCAAACATAAAAAAATAAACAAGTAAATAAAAGTTTAAAAGTTAAAAAGTAAATCAATAAAAAGGAGAGAAATTGGCTGGGGATGTAACTCAGTTGGCAGACTGCTTGCCTAGCATGCACAAGGTCCCGGGCTGAAGCATCAGCATATAAACAGGTGGGGCTGGGGCTAGGGCTGGAGAGATGGCCCATTAGAGTACTGGATGCTCTTGCAGATGTCCGGGGTTCAGTTCCCAGCACCCACATAGTGGCTAACAACCATCCATAACTCCAGTTCCAGGGGATCAGATGCCTTCTGACCTCTGTGAGCATTGTACAACATGGGTGTACTCATATACATGCAGGCAATATATGCATACAAACAAAAATAAAATATTTTAAACTTGTATGGGGATGCATGCCTATAATCCCAGCACTCTAGAGGCGAAGGCAGGAGGTTTAGAGGTTCAGGGTCACTCCCCAACTGCATGATAAGTTCAAAGCCAGACTGGGCTACATGAAACCTTGCCTCAAAAAAAAAAAAAAAGTAACTTGGCATGGTGGAACAGGACTTTAATTCCAGCACTCAAGAGACAGAGACAGGCAGGTAGATCTCTGTGGTCTACACAGCAAGTTCCAGGCCAGCTGGGGATGCAGGGAGACCAAATAAATCAAATAAATAAATAGAAATTGAAAAGAAAGAGTGCACTTCAAGAAGGTAAAAGAGAAACCTTATGTTCATCTCATAAAAATGAAACAAAATTGTGAGAGAATTCTAAATGTATTTCTGACTCATTTATTTTTGAGGCAGCATCTCACTAGGTACCTCAGGCTGACCTGCAACTCATGAGCCTCCTCCTTCAAACTCCTGAGTGCTAAGATGACAGGCATATAGCCCCATGCCCAGCTATTTCTGACTTTTGAAAATGCAGCAAATGAGAGTTAGCTGGGTGTGGTGGTGCACGCCTTTAATCCTGGCACTTGGGAGGCAGAATCGGGTGGATCTTTGTAAATTCAAGGCCAGCCTGGTCTACATAGCGAGTTCCAAGCCAGCTGGGGCTACAGGAAGACCCTGTCTCAAAAAAAAAAAAAAAAAAGATAAAAAAGAAAAGAAAATGTAGCAAATGAGGGTTGATTACATGTACTCAGTTGGATAAAAACTATTCAGCAGAAATCCACAGCCCAGATGAGGGACAAAGCAAGGATCCCCACCCTGTTGCTGCTACTTAGCATGCTCTGAAAGCGCTCTATCCAACTAATTAAGGAATGAATGTAAATACTAAAGTATTAATATTAAATATTATTTGGAAAAGATAAGTATTTACAAAATCCAAGAGCATCAACTACAAAAATCGGTAAATTAGAAAGAATTTAATAAAGTAGCCCCAAGTTAATTAGAAAGGTCAAGGGTCTGGGGAGATGCTCAGTGGTAAAGTGCTTGCTGCACAAGCATGAGGATGTGAGTTTGGATCTCAGCACCCATGTAAAAGTTGGGTCAGTAGTGCATGCCTGTAACTCTGGTGCTGGGTAGGAGGAAGCAGACAGACACCAGGAGCTCACCAACCAGCTAGTCTAGACAAAAGACTGAGTGAGCTCCAGGTTCAATGAGAGATCCTGTCTCAAAAAAACAAGGTGGTTCAGGGAGGACTGGAGCAAAACAAGAGTCTTCTAGACATGACAGGACTCCTGTACTCATGAATCACAGCCGTGGTGGTTGCCTGCACAAGACCAAGTAAAGTCAACACTGGAGCAACCATGGGACAGGGGCTCAGAATCCTCTACCCTTGAGAAGCTACTGACAGTTGATGGTTTCTGGGAGAAGGAGTTAGTTTTCTTTAAGGGTGTGGCCCCTGGTAGGTTGACTATGCTCCAGTGGATGGTCCCAACACCCATGAGTATACAGGCAGCACAAACTGGAATTGGTGGATTATAGAAGAAAAAGAGGAGGAGGAAGAGGGGGAAGGGGAGGAAGAGGAAGGGGAAGAGAGGAAGAGGGGGATTAGGAGATGGGTTTAATATATAGTACTGCCAGGATATAAGGGGTTTTTTTTGTTTTGTTTTGTATGGTTTGGGTTTTGTTTTTGTTTTTTTTTTTTTTAAGTAGAAGCAAACAACTTGGATGTGATGGCACATACCTATAGTCCTAGCACTTAGGAGGTGGAGGCAGGAGGATCAGGAGTTCAAGGCTATCCTCAGCTACAGAGCAAGTTCAAGGTCAGTCTGGGCCATGTAAGACTGCCTCAAAAAAACAAACAAGCCAGACATGATGGTGCATGCCTTTAATCCCAGGATTTGGGAGGCAGAAGCAGGCAAATGTTTGAGGCCAGACTGGTCTACCTATCGAATTCCAGGCTGGGGCCACACAAAAAGACCTAAAATAAACAAATAGTAAGATCTGTCCCCCTACCCAAACAATCCAAAAATTCCTTGACTTATAAAAGGAATTCATTTTAACAGTCCTTCCCCTGTCCCAGCCCCCAGTGCTGGGGATATAGCCCAGGGATCTTGCTCATGCTAGGCAAGCACACTCCCACTGAACTACACCCCCAGCCCTGATGGTGCTTGTTAATGCAACCACTTTAAAGCTTATTCCTTTAAAATAGGACAAAATCACACCCTGAAACTTCTCCAGCCTTAACAGTCCATGGACAGGCAGGTCAGATCTGAATGGAACTGTCCTGATCAAGTCCACAGAACCACTTCTATGGTGCCTATGTCTGTCTCAAGCACAAATGTGGAAGGGAGAAAATAAAAAGTCCCCCAAACGTTCTCATTTTTGCATGACTGGCATTTGTAGAGTCCCTTTTAGGCTAAAATGACATGGTTGGAAACCTCAGCTGAGCAGCAGTCGGCCGTGCCCACAACTTGAGACTTTTCTTTTCACTTGCTTTAATGTGGAACTTGGCACATGATCTATTTGACTCTTTACAGATGCCATAAAATTCTGAGGTTTCTCTGACAGAGCCGCCTTTAAAACTCCAGCATTCTTCTAGCTCTGGCACTAAGCTAAATCTTAAAGAAACAAAGCTACAAACACAACTAAAGATATTCCTTCAAGCTGGTAGACTGTTTAGATTTGCACAGAGCAACACAGGTCACATCCAGGAGTTCTTGTACCTGTGAGAGGATGGCAGAAGGGTGCAGCAATTACCAAAAAAAATCAACTTTCCGGAAGGCCCGGGCAAAGGCTTACTTCTATCAAGAGTCTATTTGCGAACAGAGGTCATTCAGAGATGTTTTCAAAGTATTAATCAGTTGCTTTTAGAAATTAAAATTTGAGCTGGGATGGTATGTAATACTTGTAATCCCAGCTCTGGGGGCTGAGGCAGAAAGACTGTGGGTTCCAGGCCAGCCTGGATTTCATAGTAAGACTTTTGGGGGGGAAATGGGGGGGGGGTGCAGCAAGATGGCTCAGCGGGTAATGACATTTGCCAGCCACACCTGACAACCTGAGTTCTAACCCTGGGACCCACACGGTAGAAGAAGAAAATCAACTCTCACAAGTTGTCCTCTGACTTCCACACACTTGTGCCCAGACATGAGTGTGAATATACACACATAATAAATAAATATAGCCAGGTGTGATGGTGGTACACATCTTTAAATCCTAGCACTCTGAAGGCAGAGGCTGGTGGATCTCTGCGAGTTCAAGGTCAACCAGAGCTACAGAGTGAGACCCTGTCTCAAAAAAACAAAATAAGGGGCTGGAGAGATGGCTCAGCAGTTAAGAACACTGACTGTTCTTGCAGAAGACCCAGGTTCGAATCCTAGCACCCACATGGCAGCTAACAGCTATCCATAACTCCAGTTCCAGGGGATCTGACAGCCTCTTCTGTCCTCCACAGGCATTGCACGACACGGGTGTACTTACCTACATGCAGGCATAACACTCATACACATAAAAATAAATAAATAGCCAGTCATGGTGTCGCACGCCTTTAATCCCAGCACTCGGGAGGCAGAGGCAGGCAGATCTCTGTGAGTTCAAGGCCAGCCTGGTCTACATAGTGAGTTCCAGGCCAGCTGGGGCTACAGGGAGACCCTGTCTCAAAAAGACCAAAAAATAAATAAATAAATGAATAAATAAATGAATGAATGAATAAATAAATGTAATTTTTTAAAATGTAAATAATAAATACACTAAAATATGGTACAATCCACCTTCTTACAGGCATACAAAAGGAGCTTCAAAGTCACCAAAGACGGGCTAAGGAAGATGTAACTCAGTAGTAGAGTGCATGCCTTGCATGCACAAAGTCCTAGGTTCCATTCCCAGCAAGAAGGGGGTTGTCAGAAGCCACAAGAGATGAGAGCAAGAGTTTCGGAGGAATGAATGCACAAATTCTCCCTGGAGCTGGTGAAACGAGCTCTCAGGGGCAGTCAGCTCTCAGGGGCAGTCTGCAGATATCAATTTGATACCTGAACCACTGCAAAGAATAAACAATTGCATTTTACCCTCTGAGCCCAAAGCCCACTGCTTTGAGAGGTCACTTACCTTGAGGGCAACTGAAAAGTCAACTTCTTTGGTTTCCTTCAGGCCAAGAGGAATCAGGGGGATGGTAAATGCCTCCCTACCAGGAACACAAAAGGGTATATGAACACCCCCAACCCAACCGCCTTGCGCCCCACAGCCTTGCCCCCCAGCAATCCAGTTCAGGCCCCCAACCCTATCCTCCAGGCCAACCCAACACACATGTGGCTGGTGGGTTCCTTGTTCCTTCCACAGCTCTGAGCACAGAGCTTGAAAATGGCTCCTGGCTCTGTGAGATGCCACTCTAACACACCATACCCCTACTGTCTTAGTCCAACTTGGTCCTCAGTCTTAGCCCCTCTTCGGCAAAGGTGCTGAGGGTTCAGGTGAGAGTTGCTGACCTGCACCAGGCCCACATGTGGGGTGCTCACTGCTCTCCTACCTGGGTACTTCATGAGCTACCTTGGACTTCCGGCTGTCCACAACCACAATCACTCCCCTCCTACACCCCTTACCACAGGAACCCCTAACACCTCCCACACTAGAAATCTGGGCTCTCAGGGTTCTCTTAGGGGCACATCATACTGTGTGTCTTATTGCACATACCCCCAAAGGCACAGGGTCACTCCACACACATCAACCCAGGAGTGCTCCAGGATCTGCATTCCTAAGGGCAGAGCCAGCGGGAAGTGTAGTCTGTGTTTTGCAAATAGGGACTTAGCTCTTTGACCTGTAACAGGAGACCTCCATGGGCTGCAGCAGAACCCAGCCCAGAGAGAAGGCCAGGAATGCTGGGCAGGGTTAAGTAGACAACAGCTGTAAACTGAAACTGTCACTGTTGCACAGTGCTATTAAAAACTGTGAAGACCAGCCCAGGTATGTGGTGGCCCCAAAGTCTACCCAGAAGCCTGGCCTCTGCTGGAAGCTGAGCAACGCCAGCCCCCGCCCCCAGCCGGGCCCCAGAGTTCTGTGCTCACCTCATGCAGGGAAGCAGGGTTGGCTCTTCCATGACTGGCCAGATGAGAAGAGGAACAGCAGCTATGCTAAGGACGCACACTCCAGGGCACCCGCAGCCCCAGGGTGGCACTAACATGACTTTCTGTGACCTGGGCTTCCCTGAGTTTTCTCATTTACATAATGAGACCCTTTCTTCCCCGCCCACATACAGAAGTGTTCGAAGACCTAACTAAGGTACTAAGAAATAAAACAATTGGCTTTGAAGACAGTTGGAACAGGGTGCACAGGCAAGGTGTCAACTGGAATCCTATCTGTCCCCTCTTCCAAGTGACAAAGGGGACCAAGTGAGGCCACTGAAGGGCTACAATGACCACAGAAGGCTGAAAGTGCTTATCTTTGTAGAAAGAACACCCTGCTCTTTAACAGAGCAAATTCGAGTCTAGACTCACAGCCTATGGCAGTAGTGAAGCTTGGCCCTGCCTAGCCTGCTGGAGCGGTTTGAACTTTTTGGACAGAACACTGGAATTTAACACGGAAGCACAGCCTGCGAGAATCTTGCATTTTTTTGTTGCTCTCAGTGGGTGTTTTGAAACTGCACTAGGAGCCCACAGGTAAGCCAGACAAACACAAGTGTCACAGGCCAAGGAGCCAGCAGGGCTCCAGGCTTCAATGCTAGTCTCTGGCTTTGTAAAATGCAGAGGATTAGGGGTGAGGAAATGCACATTCCACGGTGACTCAAAAGTTCTCTAGTGTCTTCCTACTGGTAATCCAGGAAACTATTTTCCGTTTCCCCTGGGGCTCCCCTACTTTTTGAGAAGTCTCACTTCCCTACACAAAAAACATGGAAAACTTCCTTGGAGCATCTCAGTTAGGAAGGAACACAGGGCCTTGTGCTGTTGAGCCTGGCCCCTAGCCTCTCACTGTAGGGTTCTAGGCAGGTGCTCTACCACTGGGCCACACCCCCGGCCCCTCACTGGGGCATTCTAGGCAGGTGCTCTACCACTGGGCCACACCCCCAGCCCCTCACTGGGGGATTCTAGGCAGGTGTTCTACCACTGGGCCACACCCCCAGCCCCTCACTGGGGGATTCTAGGCAGGTGCTCTACCACTGAGCCATGCCTCCAGCCCCTCACTGGAGCATTCTAGGCAGGTGCTCTACCACTGAGCCATGGCCCTCAGCTTCTCACTGGTGGATTCTAGGCAAGGGCTGTACCTCTGACTCATATTCCCAGCCCCTTACTGGTGGATTGTAGGCATGTGCTCTACCACTGAGCTACATTCCCAGCCCCTTACTGGTTGATTGTATCTTTTGCCCAGTTTTACTGTTGACACAGGACTTTACTATGTAGTCTGTCCTGGCCTCAAACTCATGATCCTCCAACCTCGGCCTCACGAGTTACCAGAATCTTAGTTTTGAGCTACAGCACTACTACAGTTATTCCTTTTTAAACATGGGCATTCCCTTACACTCACAAAATGGCTCACTTACAGTGGACAGAGGAAATTTCTAAGCTTTTCTGAAGGTCCCACCTCAAACCCTCCCTAGGGAATGTTTCTGATCCTAACATTCATTTTGCAAATACTTAACAGGGTAAGTTTCTGAAATACCCCCATGGTATTGTCTTCTCTGGGAACTTGTAGGTCCCTTAATTTTCAACATGAAACAAAAGATCTTCCAAAATGCAGTTTATATTTTTTGGCATTCTATCAACTGAAAGACCCAGAACCAGACCCTGTGCTAGGTAAGAAGCTAAGAAGGAAGACTGGCAAGACAACCTGGCCCCATGGAGAACTCTGGCTCTCACAGGTACCCACAGTACTTTGAGAACATCTTTATTGAAGATTCACCCTAGCCTGTGTAAGAGATGCTATTACCTACCTGGACCCAGAATTGCAACCCTTCCATAAAATCAAGCCCAAGGCAGTCCAGGGCAGACGGCTATTTGTCTAACAGTCCAATTCTTTTTTTAAAAAAATTTTATTTATTATTCTTATTTTATGTGTATGAGTGTATTGCCTACGTGTGTGTAAGTGCACCCATGTTGTACAATGCCTGAGGTCAGAAGAAGGTATCAGATCCCCTAGAACTGGAATTATGGATGGTTACTAGCTGCCATGAGGGTGTTGGGAATTGAATTCAGGTTGTCTGTAAGATCAGTCAGTGCTCTTAACCAGAGTCATCTCTCTAGCCCAACAGTCCAGTTCTCCAGTTCTTTACCTACAAAACCCATAGGTTCATTCCTTTAACCCCAGTGGCGGGGTCAATCCCGATCCAAACATTCTTACTTCCCTGGTGGAACTGCCCAGGCCACAGCCCCCTTCTAGCCTCTCAGTGAGACATCCTGATGCAGGCACACTCTCAGACTCAGAAAGCATCTGGAATGTGCTGCCTACTCACTCTGCACCCTGGTACACTCCCACGGAGATGTTGAGCCCCTCCAGTTCCTCCTTCAGCATCTGCAGGTCTGAGTTGACGAAGCTCAGCTCCAGGCGAACCTGCTCTCGTACCTTCTGGTTTGTGGCTACTCTGTTCACAAAGGGAAAGAAGGACCTCAGTCACGCATCCCAGCTGAGCAGCCACCAGATGAGCAGACACAATCCCAACCGTGGAGGGAACTCAGGAGATGGCTATTAGATGCCATCAGATAAGCCATCTCAGAGATCCACGGCACCTGCACTATCCTGACTACAATGTCCAGCAAGTGGACCTGAGACATGGCCAGCAACACTGTAAGCTCCCAGACATGAACCCTGGTAGATCCTTGAAAGGAATTAACTTTATGATCAAAGACCAAAAACAAAACAGAACAAGAACCTACTCTCCATCATCCATAAAGAAGCCATAAATTATTCCCTTGCGCCATGCATGGTGGCACATACCACTAATGGCAACATAGACAGGAGGATGAGAGTCCCAGGCCTGCCTGGGAAACAGCATGGGACTGTCTCACCAAAGAAACAAAACACTCTATAAGTAAGGGGACGTACAAAGCCCGGCAAAGGCCATTTACACAAGCTGGCAGCCACCATCATATAGAATGCTGAAAGGCTGTTTTTCTCTTCCGAACAAAGCAAAGATGGTGTCTTTCGTCTTTCCTCCATCTCACAGTGCTGGGGATGATCACCCAGGGCCTTGCCCTTGCTAGGCAAGCTCTCTACCACTACCCCACGCCCTGAACTCATGCATTTACTACTTTTTTCAGACTTTCAAGTGTTAGATGACGTGACCCACTGAGCCTGGCTTAGTTAACAAGTCCAGAGTAGAGTATTTACTCAGCATGCGTGAGGTACTGGGTTCAATCTCTAGCACCACCACCACAATAAAAAAATTTTTTTGAGAAGTCAGTCCTAAAATTTATATGAATATAAATTTATATGAATAGAAAATTCATATGAAAATTTATATGAATAGAATAGCCAAGATAATTGTGAAAAAGAAAAGCAAGGCAGACGACAAGTGCTATCTGATTTAAAAAGTTACTATAAGCCTGCCGAGCACGGTGGCACACGCCTTTAATTCCAGCACTCTGGAGGCAGAGGCAGTCTTCCCTGTGCATTCAAGACCAGCCTGGTCTACACAGTAAGTTCTAGGTCAGCTAGGGCTACTGGGAGACCGTGTCTCAAAAAAAGACAAAAAAAAAAAAAGTTACTATAAGCCTGATATCTGGCCTATGCCTTTAATCTCAGCAGGGGCAGGTGGATCTCTATGAGACTGAAGCCAGCCTGGTTTATATAGCAAGTTCCAGGTCAGCTGGGACTACAGGGAGACCCTGTCTCAAAAAGACCAGAAAGAAAAAAAAAAAAAACAACCAAACAAACAAGGACAAAATTAATTGTAACATTTGTGTTTTTCTGTGTAACATTTTTGTAGCCCCAGCTGGCCTGGAACTCACAATGTAGGCCAGGCCTTACACTCAGAAATCTGACTCCCAAGAGCTGGGACTAAAGGCATGCCCCACCACTCCCAGCCACATTTGTGCTTTTTCTTAAAGACTGCCATATTAGTCACTTTTCTGTTGCTCTGATAAAACACTCTGACCACATGCTCAGAGATAGCACTGCCCACTGTGGCCTGGGCCCTCCCATGTCAATCAACAATCAAGGTAATTCCTCACAAATACATGAGGCTAGACATTGAGATCACAGGCCAATCTGATCTAGGTAATCCCCCAATTGAGACTCCCTCAGATGACTCTGGGCTGTGTCAGGTTGACAGCTGAAACTAACTAGAACAATGGCTATACTTTGGATAGAAAGTGTCCCTTGTAGCAGGGCGTGGTGGTGCACGCCTTTAATCCCAGCACTCTGGAGGCAGAGGCAGGCGGATCTCTGTGAGTTCAAGGCCAGCCTGGTCTACACAATGAGTTCCAGGCCAGCTGGGGCTACAGGGAGACCCTGTCTCAAAAAAACAAAAGTGTCCCTTGTATCCCCGAAGGTTGAGGTATTGAAGGGCTTGGTTCCAAGTGCAAGCAGTGTTCAGAGATGGGGCTCTGAGAAGAGACTGAACCATGAGGGCTCTGAGTTCATCAACACATTAATCCACTGATGGATTTATAATTTGATGGTATTATGGGGTAGTAGTGGGAAAGTCAGGTGGTGGGGCCCAGATAGAGAAAGGTTACTAGACCCTTGCCTTTGAAAGGTGTTATCTTGTTCCTTCTCTTTCCTTTCAGCCGCTCACTCTCTGCTTCTCCACCTCAAAGCACATGCTCCTGACATGGATATTCTGCCTGTTTAGCCCAGAAACAAGGCAGCCAGCTGACCACGGACTGAAATCTTGAAACTACAAGCTAGAAAAATCCATCTTCCCTTAAGTCAGTCTTCTCAGTTATCTACATCAGAGCAATAAAAAGTCTAACAAAAAGAATAAATGTGAATTTTTGCATTCTGACTCACGTGTCCCTTTTTCTTTTCTTTTTTGGCAGTGCTGGAGATAGGACACAGAGCCTCAGGCAAGCCAGGCAAGTGCTCTACTACTGAACCACATTGCCAGCTCTTCCTATTTTGGTATAATTTTTTTTTCCTCTCTCAAACCTTTTTTAAAAAAAAATCATTCCTCTGGGAACAGGCTCCACACTGAACCTGTGTCTCACACCTGCTTTGGAAGCTATATTGGAGCAGCTTAACGGGCTCTAGGGAGCCAGCTTCCCTCTGCTGTCTGCTCTGCCAGGGATTCAGTGGAGTGGCCTGAGCACCATCCTGTGCCCTGAATGGATGTCGCTAACGCAGTACATCTGTTCCTAGCCCATCTCTCAGTGTAGGAAGGCAAGGATAGGAGCCGGTATCTACTATTTCAAAGGCCAAGGAGAGCCCAAGCATACCACTGCAGTCACACTCAAGCCCCTTGGCATTGATCACATGAGTGGTCATTAACCTCACGAAGATTACAGCCATGGCCACCCCAGATGACCCCTAAGAGCTTGACCCTCAGGCCAAGAGATCACAAAGTAAACTGGAGGCCTGAGTGATTTGTTCACTTGGCTGACAGAGTGTTGCTTTTTAACCCTTCAACTGGTTGCCAATATTTAAAAGTTCAACAATCAGAAGCTCTCAAAAGTGAAAGCCTAGCACAGTGGCATAGACCTATAATCTGAGCACCCTAGAGGAAGAGACAGGAGGATCCTGAGTTTCAGGCCAGCCTGGGCTACACAGTGAACTCCTTTCCCAAAAGAGCAAAAAACACAAGTCTAGGAATGTTGATCAGTTGGTAGAGGGCTTCCCTTAGCTTGCAGGAAAACTTGGGTTTAATCTCCAGTACAACAAAAAACTGGGTGTGGTGGTACACACCTATAAATTCCAGCACTAGGAAAGCTGAGACAGGAAGAGCTCTTCAGTTCCAGGTTAGCCTGGGCTTTACATAGACACTCTATCTCTAAAAGAAAACAGTTGGGGGACGGGGAGATATAGGCAGCTTTTCCTAAAAGGAAAAAATAGAGGATCTGGTTGCCGAGGTTCTGCCCTCCAGAGGGCAGTCGTTCCCTCCAGAGGTCATGCCCCCACCACTCCACATGGTTCCCAATTCACAAGCAGGTGCACTGACTCCTAGAGACTTCTGTGTAACCTAGTACAACTTCCAGTCTAAGAGGGTCACCTGGAGCCCACAAAGGTTAACAGTCTGCTCTTGACCAGAGAACTAGTTAGTTAAAACTGAACTACCTGGTAGCTTGCTTCAAGTCTCACAAAGATCATCTCTGTCTCAGAGAAACACCATCCAGTTTCTACCTCACCATTTGTGATTTAGAGAACAGAGGTGGTTGAACAGGGACTATAAGTGCCTAACCTGAAAAGGTGTTTTAAAACACACACTGTCTCTTCTATCCGGCTCCAGGAAACTTGGGGACTCTAGGCTGATATGGATCAGGGAAGGAGAGGACCTTCAAGGAATATAAAACCTGCCTGCTCACAGCACCTGTCCAGCCACGTCAGCCTCTTACCTGTACAGTTAAAGGTTAGGACACTAATTTCTGAGTCTGTATTTCTGGGGATATTTTCCCAAATGCCCTCTTGCCCCCATTAACATTGCTGTACTGTCGAGCATGGTGGCATACACCTTTAGTCCCAGAAGCAGGAAGATCTCTGTGAGTTCAAAGCCAGCCTGGTCTACATAGTAAGATCAGGCCAGCTGGAGCTATAGGGAGACTCTGTCTCAAAAAGACCAAAGCAAAAAAAAACAAACCCTGCTGTACCTTCAATGGGCATCACAGTGGGACACCCAGAGACCTGAAGGATAGCCACGCACAAAGTAAAGGCCAGTAGCAGCAGCCAAGGGCAGAACCTAAGAGGCCCAATGCCCTCTTAGATTTCAGGAAGCCATGGTGTTGGTTAGGTCAGATTAATACCTTCAGGGTGTGGAGGTGGGGGGTGGCACTTCGAACTTACAGGTCACTAGAATTATTTACAAGCCTGATGCAACTGGACAACTGTTAACCTGACAAGTCCAGGCCTCAGATAGGCTGCTGTTGCTAACAGAACAAGGCAGTCAGACTTCCACTAGTTCCTTATAAAAACTACAAAACAAAACAAAACAAAACAAAAAAAACCCTACAAGTCAGAGCCAGCAAGATAATTCAGCAGGTGAGGTGAAAGTACTTACCACCAAACCTGACCACCTGTGCTCAATCCCCAGCACCCACATGATGGAAGAGACCCTATTCCCGTGAGTTGTCCCATGACTTCCACACATGGGACATGTTTACAAAAACCAAAAACCCCTCTAAGTCTGCTGATCAAAGAGGCCTCCTCAACTACCCCCATGTTCCTGAGGTGTGCCACCCAGGTCAGCCCCACCACATTTCCACTTCCTAGAAAACATTACGTTTTTAAAAAATGTATAATTTTTTTTGCCTGGCATGGTGGTGCACGCCTTTAATCCCAGCACTCAGGAGGCAAAGGCTGGTGGATCTCTGTGAGTTCAAGGCCAGCCTGGTCTACACAGTGAGTTCCAGGTCATCTGGAACTACAGGGAGACCCTGTCTCAAAAAGATAAAAAAAAATTTATAATTTAAAACTTTTTTTTTAATTTTATTTATTATTTTTATGTGTATGTGTGTATTGCCTGCATGTAGGTAAGTGCACCCGTCTCCAATGCCCGGGGACGTCAGAAGAGGCTGTTAGATCACCTGGGACTGGAGTTATGGACAGTTGTTAGCTGCCATGTGGGTGCTGGGATTCCAACCTAGGTCTTCTGCAAGGACCAGTGTTCTTAACCACTGAGCCTTCTCTCCAGCCCCAATTTTTAAATTTTTTAATTTTATTACTTTTATTTTATGTGTTTGAGTGTATTGCTTTCATCCATGTTGCTCAATGCCTGTGTAGTTACTGACAGCTGCCATGGGAGTGCTGGGAATCAAACCCAAGTCCTTTGTAAGAGCAGTCAGTGCTCTTAAGCACTGAGCCATCTCTCCAGTCTCAAATTTTTAGTTTATATTTTATGTGTATTACTGTTTTGCCTGATATATATAAGTACATCCGTGCATGCAATGTTCTCAGACTCATCCCTGGAACTGGAATTACAGACAGTTGTCAACCATCGTGTGGATGCTGGGAGCCAAACTGTGCTGGATAGCTTTAGTGTCAACTTGACACACCTGGGTTGAGGGAGCCTCAGTTGGGGAATTGCCTCTATTGGACTGGCCTGTGGCCATGTCTGAGGGGCATCTTCTTGATGAGTGATGTGGGAGGGCCCAGCCCACTGTGGGTGGTGCCACCCATGGGCAGATGGGCCTGTGTTGCATAAGAAAGCAGGCTGAGCAGGGGCCAGGAGAGCAAGCCAGTAAGCAGCGTTCCTTCATGGCCTGTGCTCCAGCTCATACCTCCAGGTTCCTGCCCTGAGTTCCTATCTTGGGCTCCCGGATGAACTGTGACCTGGGAGATGTAAGCTGAATAAACCCGTTCCTCCCCAGGTTGGTAGTGGTCAGAGTATTTTGTCACAGCAATGAAAAAACAAACCAGAACACAAACCCAGGTCTTCTGTGAGAGCATTCAGTGCTTTTAACTACTCAGCCATTTCTCTAGTCCCAAAATACCACTTCCTGACATGATCTGATTTGTTTATTTGTGTATGGAAGTCTCCCCTTGTAGGTTGCAAGTGTGGTTCACAGCACTTGCCTTACCTAGCATGAGAGGAAGGTTCTCCCTCTATACTCCAGGCTGGCTTAGAACTTGCTCTGTAGCCTAGGCTAGCCTCCAGTTCCTAAATGCTGGGATTACAGATGAGGGCCACCATCACACCCAGCTTCCTCGCCACTTTTTACAGTGTGTAGGCCAGGTGGGTACCATAGCTGCTCCACAGGTAAATGAGAGGTGTTTTTGGGGGCACCCAGAACTACAAAATACAAATGGTCAGGGGGGGAGTCATACTCCCGTGTTCCTTCCAACAGTTTTGTTCACATGAAGAACACACATCTGCATGTCCACACAGAGGGCATGCCATCTTGCACCTTCCTCTGGACAGAAACACCCTTCCTAGGGCTAGAGACATAGCTCAGCAGTAGATGCACAAAGGCCCTTGTCCAGTCCTAGCATCACAGAAAGAGAAGAGCCAGCAAGATGGCTCAGCAGATAAAGCACTTGCAGTGCAAGCCTGGAGACCTGAACTGAGTCCTGGAATTGGAATCTACATAAAGGTCCAAGCACAGAAGTGACTCCCCAAAGTTGCCCTCCAACCTCCACATGGGACTCACCATGCAGAGAAGCACCCCACCACCACCACTACACAAACAAATTTTAAAGAAAAAATAAGAGAAATAGTTCAGTGGTTAAGAATGTTGATTGCTTTTTCAGGAGACCCAGGTTCGCATTCCAGCACCCACTCGGTGGCTAACAACCATCTGTGACTCCAGTTCCAAGGGATCTGACGGTCTCTTCTGACCTCCGTGGGCACTGCACAACACAGGTGTGCTTACACACATGGAAGCAATGCACACATACACATAAAATAAAAATAAAAAAAAGAACAGAAGAAAAGACCAGACTCTCATCCTGTTTTGCTGAGTTCCAGGCGAGTAGTGAGTTTGGAGTTGCTGACTGAACCATTCCCAGAAGTCTACCACCAGAGGCCAGAAGCCCCAGAGCCTTGTGGCTCTTTTACTGACAGTGTGCTTGTTTTTCCCAACAATTATCCCAAAAGCATTTGGGTTCCCCATGACCTCCAACAGTGAAGCTGACCCTTGGGTAGTGCCCATTACGTCCATAATTTTGCAGACATATTGGCACCCTCAACCCCACCCGTCATAACCCTGAAAGTTTGGGAAAGAAGCTCCTGGGGATTCTAGCTTTAAGTAGGTAGACTGAGCCCCTTCCCATGCCAGGCCTGGAGGCTCCAGGCTCCTGCAAGCATGCCATATCTCCTGAGGCTCCAAGAGGCACCGTTCACTCACCTGGGCAGCAGCTGCAGTGCCCACCTTGACTATACAATGTAAACGGGGGAAGGCAGAAGTGGTGGCTCTCACCTATAATCTCGGGACCTGGGAGGCTGAGGCAGTCTGGGCCACATAGCGAATTCTAGGCCTGCCTGGGCTACAGAGTAAGACTCTGTCTCAAACAATGGTAGCAAGCAGGGGTTAATAAGAGCTGCCAGTACAGGTGTGGCAGCACAGGCCTGCAATCTCAGTACTCAGGAGGTGGAGGCAGAAGGATTAGGAGTTCAAGGTCATCCTTGACTACCTAGCAAACTTGAGGCCAGTCTGGATTATGTGAGACCTTGTCTCAACAAAAACAAAGAGCTACCTGCAAAACTCTCCAAGGAGGGGAGCTCAGCAGGGAAAAGGACTTGCCACACACGCTTAGTGACCTGAGTTTGCCTCAACGAGGTGGAAGGCCAGAACCAGCTCCTGAAATTTGTCTCAAGGAAGACACAGCACTCATAGTAAACAAAAGCAAGCTGGCTGGCAGTCTTTCATTGCCTTTAAGGGTGTGGGGAGGATTTGCAGCTACCTGGTCACAGGTAAGGCTTCGCTGAGCTCTGCTTGATAAGTAACTGTTTAATCCCCACAGCACAACAGTGAGTGCCCAGCACAGACAGCCTGCTTAGTATCTCACATTAGCTTACTTTTTCTTTTTCTTTTTCTTTTTTTTAATACTTTATTATTCTTATTTTATGTGTACGGGTGTATTGCTTGCATGTATGTGAGTGCACCCGTGTCGTGCAATGCCAAGGTCAGAAGAGGGTCTCAGATTCCCCTGGAACTGGAGTTAAGGATTGTTCATAGCCGCCATCTGGGTGCTGGGAATCAAACCTGGGTCCTCTGCATGAGCAGTCAGTGTTCTTAAACACCGAGCCATCTCTCCAGCCCCTACTTTTTTTTTTTGGTCTTTTTGAAGCAAAGTCTCCCTGTAGCCCCAGCTGTCCTGGAACTCACTATGTAGACCAGGCTGGCCTTGAACTCACAGAGATCCGCCTGCCTCTGCCTCCCAAGTGCTGGGACTACAAGTGTGCGCCACCATGCCCGGCTAAAAAATGTTTGTGATCCCTAACATACCTAACCTCTAGGTAAGCAAAAGACCTGCTCCAGGTGCCAGAAAGAAGGAATTTCAAAGCTGAGAAGAAAGAACCCAGCCTAGTGAATGGGGTTGGTCTGGCCATCAGATAAACAGGCCTCAAGAGAGCAGAGGCTCCTGGTCAAGGCAGCAAAGCGAGAGGTACCTACCTCAGAAGGTTCTCAGCTCCTGTCCGCATCCTCACAGCCTTCAGGATCTGCTGGTTCAAAGCTGCCCTCTGATTCTGCAGTTTGCTCCGGCCGGTTTGTGCAAGGGGATTACAACCCTGAGGGAAAAATAAGAGACATCCTTTAAGAGATCAGCCATATTAAAAATGATGATGTTTGTGGCTGGATAAGTGGCTTAGAAGTGATGAGTACTTGCTGCTCTTGAAGATGACTCAAGTTCAGTTCCCAGCACCCACACTGGTTGGCTCACAACTGCCTTCAACTCAAGCTCCAGGGGATGTTCTGGTTTCCAAGGGT